CGAAGGAGCTGATTTATAAAAACATCCAAACTCCCTCTGCTGCATGGAGTCATTGGCACACAGACTCACCTGACTGCAGCGTGAAAAACATCAGATGTTTATGACTGAAGCTCTGGTTTTATTTTGTGAATGAGCAGCAGGTACGACAAGGCCGACACCTGTGCACACACTCTGGTATCCAAACGTACTCATAATGTATTTTTCCCTTTTTGTTGGTGGAAAAATGTGTAGTGCTGCTGATTTGTGAGCTTTCAAACTTAAGGTGTAGTCCGTACTTTTTCAAATGGCCAGAATTTCAGTCGAGATTCAAACATCCAAACTCCTCGCAGTCTGATCTTGATTTCTGTTAAAAAATGAGCTGGAAGTCAAATGAGCTCTGCCTTACAGGGAAGCCTTGCATATGATTGTGATTGTTTCAGTGAAAAAAGTGAGCAAAATGTCACTGCTTTCTATAGTTTCTGTTTGAAGCAAATAAGAAGCAGAAGTCAGGAACATTCAGATTTATTAAGTTACGTTAAGCTCAGTAAAATTTGCACAAGAAAACTAAATACATTTGAGAGAACTCGTTTGCATATTTTTTAAAGTAAGGAGAAGTAACTGGGTGTATACTGGTGAAGTGATGGATACGTATTAAATGGGCCGTCGTGTTTTGGACTGACTTGCTTTCCTCTGCAGGCTGCAGCTGCTGCATTGCGCTGGATGAATGAACAATACCTGGCTGCTGCAGAAGCCCTGACTGTCTGCTCCATTACAGCCTGCATGCCCTCATTCACTCTGCAGTTCTTGGGAAAATCTTAACACTTTCAGACACCATATTATTACGTTCAGCTCAGTCCCTTGGAAACATGGCGCTGTCAGGAAGCGTTGGTGTCACTTCAGAGGACAAACAGTTTGCAGTCAGGCTGCCAGGAACAGAAGCGGACATGTTTATCTCTTAGCTCGACTGTCAGGAAATTTATGGCAAATTTGTACCAACAGCGTTTTTAATTATTCAAGACAATTTTGTTTCCCATATGTATCCTGTTATGAGAAAAAAAAAGCTTTTATTGAACGAAATTAACGTTATATTTGGCCTTAATTCCCAGTCTGTTATTGTTTTGTATTCAATTTGAGCCTGGAAAGAAAAACCTCCTCTTTGTTCCACATTTTAAATTTTGGTGTGTTTCTCTCTTAAGACACACACTCTGATGTTCTGCCATTATCCCGACCCCTGAGACAGCGTGTGACCCCTGAACCCAGAAAACCATGATGTCATCATACTGGCTCTTCTGAACTGTAATCTCTGCACATATGGATTAAAAAGTGTTATTAAAAATGATCTGGAAAGAATCCTCTAATTTAGAAATACAAATAAATGTGGTTATTCTCATTAAACCAGATTTAATGTCAGACAGTTTGGGGGGAAAACTTGTGTTTTTATTCGATGTGCGTCTTGTTTTGGTGGAGGTTTCCAAAATTAAGTATTAAAATCGTTAAGCTGTTTGAGTAAAGCTGATTAATTTGTTGAAGCATAACTCATCCTGGTTTTAGCACAGATTTTATGGAGGGAATTCATGTGATTTCAATAAGCTAGACCTAATGAATGACAGAGACCTAAGATAAAAATGGTTGCGAGCTTTGAGCGGCTTGAAAATTCAGTAATCAACTGTTCAAACAGATCCAGAAGGGCGAAACAAATGGATCGCAAAAAAAGCTTAAATCAAACCAAAAAAGTGTTTTTTACGGTGAAGGGAGCCAGTAAAACGAGTCCAGACAATTGGACAACTTGTCTGTTTTTGATTGAAATTGCTTGACATGAAAAGTGATACAGAAAAACACCAAGAAGTTCTTTGAAAAAGCTGCGGTGTTACAATAATCACCACCTTAAAAGTGCCTTTGCTTCAGCTTGAATTCCTGCACCGCCAGCAGATGTTTTTGCTTTTGTTCCTGAGTTTTGATGTCAGCCGGGTCGGCTCGGTCTGCTTTCTCACAGGCGTCAGCTGAAAAGCAACGACCATCTAGTATCTGTGACTCACACTGCCGAGCCCTGAGACGGGACCCCTTTTAATCTGTTGCCACCCACAGGCTCAAATCCTTTGCACATTCTCGTTTGCATTGGTGTTTTCTTTGCAAAGAAGCTCCAACTCGTCTCCCTTGTGTCTTGTTCTCACCACAAAGACTATTTTCCCCTGTTTTAATTCTTAAAAGTGGATATTTTGCAATTCTTGGTTTCATCCAATGTATGTAACTTTTATATAAAATGAAATGAGACACATAAGATCAATCTGCTCTCCCTCCTCCCGCTGCAATTTTGGCGTCTAAAGGAATGTACAGCTCCCGGTCGAAAACAACCAATCAGAGCCAAGAGGAGAGTCTTGGAGCTGTCAATGAGGCTCAGGTATGCGCTACTGGAGGAGAGGCGACTTACTGTTCCAGGGAAACAGTTTGATTGATTTGGTGATCAGCAAAACAGAAAAATATTTTCTGGGTTTCAAAAGTTGAAAATCTTCGACTTCTTGAATGTTTTTGTTTTTATATTTTGTTTTGTTGTTTTTTTTGTTTTTTTTTTGAAAATTTTAGATTAATCCCAAAATTTCAGTTTTTTAGTAGCAGATTAATGACTAGAAACTAAGAAATTTGAGGGGTTTTTCTAGAAAACTTCTGAGATTAATTCCAATTTTTTTTTCTAGCAAATTTATGACTTTAGAAACTCAGAAATGTCGATGTTTTTTTTTCTCGAAAAATTTTTGAGATTAATTTCAAAATAAATATATATATTTTTGCTGAAATTTTCTCCTTTTTTATTTATTTTTTATATCTGCAATTATGACCTAACATACCTAAAGCCAGACACAGACCCAGCTTGGATTTGAAAAACTGCTTTATTTAAAATCCACTAATCTGCTGAAACATCAACTACCTTTTTGCAAAGAATATGCAGAATTTGCACAACACAAAACTGATTCCAACCACTGTGTGACACCAAAAGCTTCCAGAATGAAGCTGAGAACTACAGACGCTATAAGCATCATTTCCCGTTCAGCTTTGCCCTCAGAGAGCCATTTGTCAGAGGCAGTGAGGTGCCAGCAGTCACTGGAATATCAGTAGATGGCAGCCGCAGTGGTCAGGATGTCAGGAAGACGGATGCCGCCTCTTGAACGGCGTCGCTCATGAAGCGTGATGGCTCTTATCCGTCTGAGCTGTCAGAGTCGAGGTTCTAACACATCCTTATCTGCCCTCCACCCTGCCTGCTGCTGAGGTTGCTCCTACATTTCCAGGCAGATCCCATTTGGCACCAAAACCTCATTTTTTCAAATTGAAAGTCTCCAATTTAAAACAAAATTCTAAGCGATTTTTAAGATGTCTGTCTACTTTGTTCTCAATAAGAGGCTGTTTGAGAGTTTTTGTTGATTGTAGGTTGTTGTAGTGATCAGGGGAATCACTGGTTGTTCACATCCAAACTGGCTGCTGTGAGCAGACCTGTGAAGGCCAGAAAACAGACATCAGTCCAGTTCAGCCATGGGGAGGAAAAATGTTCCCATGAGACGCCTGCAGTCATGGGAAAAGCTAAACGGACACCATGACTCAGTAGCTTGTAGAGGAACCTTCAGTTTGAAGTAGTTCTTTTATGCAAGACATCATCAGTTTTCACATCATCACAGAAGAATTTGTACCGACTTTCCTTGGCCGCATTGTTCCAGTTCATTGAGGTTTGTTGGCGTTTGCTTTCTTAGGTCCCACCGCAGCATTTCCATTAGACCGAGCCTGGTCTGGATCATGAAATGCTTATTTTCCCCACTTTTAGCCATCATTTATACATTCACTGCTTTATTTAGGGCGTTTGTCCTGTTGGTCGTCCAGTTTGGGTCGAACTTCAGTCATCTGACAGATGACTCCATACTTTCCTTCATATATAAAAGAGTGTATTATATATACAGGTCTGTAAAAAACGACGAGCCCGCTGCACCAAACCCCATTGAAAACCTGGTGGTTTTTCCACCAAATATTGATTTCTGAGCTCTTCCTGAGTTAAAACATTAATATTGTTTCTAAATGAATATGAACTTGTTTTCTTTGCATTATTTGAGCTCTGAAAGTGCTGCATCTTTTTCATTCTTTTGACTGTTTCTCATTTTCTGCACATAAATACTAAAGTTTTGCTGGGCATTTTTGGAGATATGCTGTCAGTAGTTCATAGAAGAACAAAGTTCATTTTATTCAAACATTTACCTGTAGAGTAAAATCAGAGAAGCTGATCGTTTTAATTGGTCTCTTAAATTTTTTCCAGAGCTGTAATTTGCCTTTTCTTTTTTGGTGTTTTACAACATCACCATTACAGAGAACATTGTTCTTAATAACTTGTGGTTCATTTTAATGGAAACTTATTTGTTCTGCCACATTTTTTGAGGGAACGAAGTGGTGTTTTGGTCTGAATGAGTCGTTCCTGTTCTGTGCTTTTTTTTTCTTTGGTAGAAAGAAAAACATTAAACAATGTTGCATATGGAAATAATCAAGCTTTAATTTATCATGTAATTAATTGGTTTAATGTTTATTCAGGCTTAATCAAATGTCTTATGATGCATTTAAATCCCAAAAAGTATGTTTTTTGTTTTTTTTTAATATTTTTTTCTAGCATTTAGTCAATCCCTGTATAAGGTTTCTACAATAAGAAGCTAGCAGATTAAGCTAAATCTGTTTTAGTTTTATTTTTAAGTCCAGATTCTTTATTTGGGAAACTTCTGCATGTGTTTCAGCGAACGGCAGTTCCCATGCTTATTCAGTGTAGGAGTTTGCACTGAACATACCCCTCATTAAAAATGCTTCTGATGTTGCAAACATCAAGTGCTCTTCCCACAACAAGCCAAGGCCACACAAGGAAAAAAAAAAAAAGGTTTGCAAGCTCCGGAGAAGTGAGAGAAACCGCACCGGTGAAAGGAGGAGCAGGAAGACTGCGGGAGGAGGGCCGGCTCAACCGGAGTGTGTTAATTTGTATCTGGTGCTGTGAAGTCTAGGGGAGGGCTGCATTAGAAAGCGGTGGTCCGTGGAGGAACGGGGAGGGGGGAGTCGGGTTTCAGACCCAGTCCCGATGCACTGAAGCTGCCTTTGTTTGACTGGGAACCAGAGGGAGAGTGAGGAGGAGGAGGAGGAGAAGTTTTTAGCTTGGAGGGAGTGAAAGAGCGACAGAGTGGGCTCCATCTCTCTCTCTGTCACCACCAAATAAATGAAAAGGGAAACTTTAGTGTGGATTTAAGCTCCCCATCAGTGAAGATGGCTTCACGGTAAATGAAACACGGCATATTTTCTGGGAGTAAGTTGATTTGAAACGGTGTTAGTTGGTTTTCTCACTCTCTGGATGTGCTTTTGTGCAGCATTCCTCCCTGGTTCTTTGGATTATCTCTCCTGTGCTGCCATCACTCCTCTGCCTATCAGCTGCTGGACGGTATGTGCACTCGCTCTGCTACTGGAAAAAGTTCTCATTTTACCCCGCTGGTGGAAAAACTACAGCTTCAGAAGTTTGCTTTTGTAAAAATGTGCAACTTGACTTCACTTTTTGAGGAAAACTGTTTTGTTTGTGCTTTGGAACTGGAATTGGCACTATGAACATTTATATTTCAGAAGAATTACAGAAAAACATGCAAAGGTGTCAGTTTACACAAATTCAGATTTTTCTTGCATAATCTCACCAAAAACTCAGTTTTCCTTCTCTGAAACCACCTCATGTATTTTTAATTGAAGGTGTTAAAGCTTTCTGCAAGTCTTGGGTGGTTTAGATCATTTAGAGAGATTTAGAGATCTCTGAGGATCCAAATTTGGACTGGTTTTGGTCTCGCTGCACAAAGCAAAGGTTTGCAATGGAAAATAAGTGTGTGGATGGTAAAACAAAGCCTTCATCAAGCTCTGGAAAGTTTGCACATCATAGGTTGGAGCTTCAGCCCTGACCACAGGGTGAATGATGAAGCACCGTTCAGTTTTATGAGAGTTTTAATTGTTTATGAGCTGATGCGTTTTCTCCAGAATCCTGAGAATTTGAACTTCACTGCTGTAAACCCAACACCCTGACAGCAGAGTGTGTGGCAACATGCCTGGCAGTGATGGTTTGATAATGTGCTTATGGGCTTTTTGAGCCAAGTGTTGAAAAGATTGTAGTTCATTGCTTTTAATGAGACATTTAAAGGAGCAGTTTTAAGTAAAATCTACTTTTTTTGAGCTTTACATCATGTTATTCCCTCATCAAAACATGCCTGGAGTTTTGCCTTGATTCTTTCATGCATGCTTGAGAAACCCTTTAATCTCCATGGCAACCATTCAGCTGTGCAAAACGCCTTGGTGGACGTAGCCCCGCCTTCGAGGACGCAGCTCCTCCTCGGAGCTGCAGTTTCCGAGCTTCCGCCTCAGAGCAGCCCTCTCCCCTCACTCAGCTCCTACAGACTAGCCAGCAGCAATTAGCTAACACCTGGTGGAACTGTGCATCTTCTGAGCTCATTATAGGAGCTTCTTCTCAGTAAAATGCTGATAAAAACATTTTTAAAGGTTTAATAGAGAAGCCATGAAGTTTCAGAAAGAGCAGGAGTTTTTAAAGAGACAGAGGCCCAATTTCATGGTGTTAAATTATCAAGTTAAGTTATATTTGATATGTGTAGCGTTTTTACAACCACTATAGTTAACATAGTTACTTGATTATGCCATAAAGTGGCACTATGTGCCTGGAAACCATAATACTGCCACTTTAAGAGGTCTTCTGCAGGATGCTGGAACTCCGGCTTCACAAAGTTTTCTGCAGACTTGGAGTGCTCGTTGAAATCCTCGTCGACTCTGTTGGCTTAATCTGGTTTTAATTATTTTCCCAGCTCCTGCTTTCGGAGTGTTTTCACAGCTTATGACACGTTTTCAAACCTCGAGCGTTGATCACTTCAACATGTTCCCAATTAAGACTGAACGAAGCACGCATTTCCCACTGCAGTAGCGAAACCCTACAAAGAGCTTCATTGTGTGACTAAGGTTGGAGAAGATGATGCTGAGTCCATCATGGCTAATACGCCGTCATCACTTTCATCACCAGGCTGGAATCCACATCGACATTTGGTGGTTTTTGTTTTTCTATTCGGCTGTTTTGACCTCAGACCTCTGATGTCACAGAGGCACCACTGTCCAGAACTCGTCAGATGATTGTAGGGTCTCATTAGTCGATGGAGATTAAACGGTCCATCTCAGGCTGGAGCTTTCAACAACTGGAGGCACGTTAAAGAAAACTTTGGCTTAAATTATGAGATCATTGGAATATGATCTCTAGAAAGAGATTTTGTTCTGTTAACGCTGCAAAAATCATTGCATTTCATGATGCAGTACTCAAACACAGTACTTTAGTGAAAGTACAAATAAAGACAAAAACGTACACTAGTAAAACTAAATACTTGCTCTTAAATATGCTTAAATTATTGAAGGTAAAAGTAGTTTCTGAACGTATTCGCTGTAGAAAATAATTAAGTTTGCATACTGTATGTGTATTTCTTTTAATACATCAATAATGTGCCATTTTAATGAACAGATTGTTTTATTGTTTTTGGTGCATATGTGACACTTGGATTTGTTCTGTGCATCATAATGCCATGGAAAACCTGCGTAGCTAAATGCCATTAAGCTAAACCAATGCAGTATTTTAACAGTATTAAACACAAAGAAGTTATGATTAAATCTGATTAAGTAGCAAAGTAACGGGTGTATAGTAACCACTGGATATGTACCAGCACAGATTATTAGCACATTATTCTGAAAACTAGGAGATCATTCGTCAAAGAACCAGTCAAAAGGACCAAAAGTAACTCTGGAGGAGCTGCAGAGAGCCACAGCTCGGGTGGAATGCCAGGTTTGGTGTCGCACAAATCAGAAATATAAAACGGTTTTTAAAAGAAAACTGCTTAAAATAAATTTTTCCCACGAACCAAGTAGAAAACTTAGTCGCTCTGGTCAGATGACCCCGAAATCGAGCTACTTTCCAGCATTAAAATGCGCTGCACATAACCCTAATGGTGAAACACGGTAGTGATGGCATCATGCTGTGGGCACGTGGCTGTAAAAACGTTTGCCAGGCTCTGTGTAGTTGTATGTAAGGCTGCAGAGCTCAGGGCAGTTGTTGGAGCGGTGGCTCCGCTGTCAGGCTGTTTGTCTGTTTGCCATATTTATAATCCACTGCCATGATTCCAATGTTTCTTCAAGACGGAGAGGGAGGGAATAAACGAAGTGTGTGTGTGTTTGTGTGCTGGAGTATGCAGGCTGGCTTGCCAGAGAAGGCACCAGGGACAAATATTTCCAGGCTGCATGCTGTAAATAGTCCTAAAAACAGAGCTGTCGCCACAGCAACATTCCCATTTCTGGGCTTGATTTTTGAGAAGAAGGTGGTATAATGATTTTCCTTTGTCGGGAAAAAGAGCAAATAGTTTCCTACAGGTTTGTCTGTTAGCAGCGTATCCTGCAGGACATTTTCCCTGAAAGCTCTGGCTTTAATTTTGACACAAATGTACAACAACTCCATTCAGAGAGGACTGCCGCATGTTTTAATGCATTATTGCTGTGATTTTACTGAGTTTATTAAGAAATCAAATGAAAACAGTGTAAGAGAACTGTGAAGAATAAACATATGGAAATATTAACAAGGGAATAAAGCTTTTTATTGGTATGCAGAATCCAAATATGTATATGTGGGATGTTTTTGCAGTTTGGTGTCAACATGAGCCCATATAAAACAATAAAATCACTTGTTATGGGAAACCATAAAAGCGTCCCGGTGCTTTGACTCTCCATTAATGCAGACAAACACGCTCTTTAGCGGACACACACACCTGCACCGGCCAAACGGTGATGCTCTCCATCTGCTCTACGCATGATAATTATTTCCACATGATGATGATGATAATTATCTGGGACATGCAGGGCGCTGTTGGTTTGTGGGGAAAATGAAAAAGACGTTGGGGTTGCTGGTGTTGAGGTGGCTACCCTCAGCTGATGAGACCATTATGGTGGACATAATGAGGAAACTGTGTGTGCGCGGCAGACGGCCTTCGTGCCATTTAGAAGTGACGTACCTTATCTAATGCCCAGATGTCTTGTAAAAGAATGACTCGGGGTATTTGTTTCAAAGTGGAGCTGCTATCTATCAACAGTCTCCTAACTGCTGTCTGAGTTAGCTCAGTTAGAAGAAATGCAGAGAATTTGTCACCATGAGAAGTCTTTATTCCCCAAATGAAGCAAACCCAGGCAACGTTTATATATGAAAAAGAAAGATTGTCCCTCTGCTTCCAATTTGGTCGAAGGAATGGTGCACAACAACCACAATATGTTAAATTTACATAAAAAAACTAGCACTGCGCATGGCCCTCCCCTTGTGCCTGTTGTCTGTCTCACCCAATAACACACGCACCTTCAAATGTACAAAAAACCGTCCTTTTCATTTTAAAACAGTCTTTCATCTAAAGTCAAGCCAAAAAGAAATAAATGGGTCATTGGTGGTTTGTATGCTAAAATGTTGTTTTTGCAACTGCAGTTTCTATGGTATGAATCTGATCTAAAGGTTTTAAACTAATATCTTTAAATTGACTCGGATGATTTTAGCAGCACCAGTGTTGCACAGTTAGGAGACTCAAACTGTCTGATTTGGACTTAATAATAAGTCAGGAGCTACTAACTAAACTGATTAAGTGCAATTGAAATGCTGATGTGCACATCTTCAGGTCCTTATGCTGATATGTTTTTGGCTCGATTTTCCCATTCCAATTTTTAGGCCACTAAAGATAATATTATGAGATATTCCTGCTGTAATTGGTGTGTGACGCTGGGACCTCTGCTCTAAAATCGGGGACAGTCAGCATGTTGGATTGTAGCATGTGGGTTGACAAATGAGAACGCAGTCTGTTGCACATATGTAACCAATCAGAAAGCAAAATGATGGACACATGGACGGGAATCCAAAATACAAAAGACAAACAAAAGTCACCAGATGTCTTTTGTATTGTTTTTCTCTGTTAAAACTAGTCTACAAACTATTTCTTCTTCCTTGTCGGTCATGTTTGTTTACACTGGAGCTTGGTTTTAAGAGAGTTCCCACCTGATATGAGTGAAATCTGTAAATCACTCATGATTCAGGAGTAATGGAGCAAAAATTATGTTTAAAGTGCCATGAAGACGAGCTGGGAAGCATGTCTGTGGTTATTTACACTAAAAATCATGTTAGCTTTCAATAATGGACCACAAATGATTTCTTCCTGCGTATGAAGGAACGTTTGACTTAAAACAAGCTCCTATATCTTGCTGGAAAGTTATTTGCAAGTTGGTTTTGTTTTATCTCAGGAGTAAAAAGATATTTGAACCAGAAACTTGACCAAAAATAGTTGCTAAGGTTTTATTTTTGCAAAGTGAGAGCCACATAATGTGTGCTTTTAAAATCTT